CTGAGGATGAATATCAGTTAGATTCAACAAGGGTGCAGATTTCCAAGTGAAGGTTGGGTCAGTTGGTAATCTTCTTCCTTTATTCCTATAACTTAGTGTAGGTTCAACATAACCTTTAGCTTGAGTTCTAGGAGGTCTACCTGTTTCATAGGTCATGGTTTCAAGTCTTCCAGGTACAGGGTGAGTGACAGAAGATCCACTTCCTTCATTCATAAGAGCAAAGTTAATGGACTCTACGGAGTCAGATAAGAAGGAGTCTAAAGAATCTTCATCTTTTGGAGTCATTCTTATATTTCCCAAATCATCTTGATAGATAATTTGTGAGTCATGGAGTTGTCCTTGTTTCTTAAGAAGAACCTCCATTTCATCAATTTCCTTAGGATCTAGGGTATAACCAAATAATTCTTTAGGRTAAAGAATTTTATGATCAGTATCACTCCATCCAGTAGGTTTGATATCTTCAATTTTAGTCTTACTCGACTCAGGGGGAGTATATTTGACTAAAAAGGGTTTGATTTCATTTGGGTTACTAGAATCAAAGTACTTAGAGTCTTCTTCTAACGTATCCCGTTCATCACTTAATTCGATATTCATAAAACTAGTGGAAAATCTATGAGTATTTTCATCAGTATCATCAATATTTGAGGATGAARCATTGTCMTTATAATTTCTAAATCTCAAAGATTTAGATCCACTGGGGTTTATGTAAGAAACATAACTCGTGGGGACAATTGTAGATAGTTCTCTATGGAATGGAATGGTCTATTCACTTCCAGCAATGGTTTGAGAATCAATTTGGACAGGAGGTATCATTTGTATTCCTCTATAAGACACAGTCTATATGATTGAGTTAATGTCAACATTATACTGACTTCCAGCTGTTCCAGTTAGTCTTCCTAAAAATACAATTTCTACTCCCAAATTTCTTCCTATAAARTTTTCATATCCTAGTGTTTGGATTTGCACAGTAACATGCTTGCAGAAATCACTAACACTTAATGAAAAGTTTTGAGGAGCAATATAAGCAACACCTATATTGTTGTTTAAGTCTATTTCCATTGTTCCTATAATAGCTTGATCAAGGTTAGAAAATCTATTGTCAATCAAACCTAACAAGGCTTTTGTTCCTAAACCAGTTCTATGAAGACCTTTTACTGYGATAGTTAAAAGTCCAAAATGTAGAGTGGTTCTGTTGGTATGTCTTATTCTAATGCTAGCTTCTCTAGTCAGATGGTCAATGATAATCTTAGCTCTAACTGTTGCATTATCCCATTGAGCATCTACAGTTGGTTGATCCTGTTTCCACTGTCGAAAAAGACCAKAGTTTCTTTTGAATATCCCAGTAGAATAAAGTCTAGTAGGATTGAATGCTTCTAACTGATTATTGTTAAGAAGTTGTTCACTTCTGTCAACATTAATCATATCTTCAAGTCTAGAAGTATTAGAAGATCTTCGAGAAAATAAATTTCCTAGGGTATTGAAATTTAGCCTAGTTTCTTGTCCAATCATTTGAGACCTATTATTATCCATAGAATCATTTTCATTGATAGTTCTAGAACGACCATGAAAAGGAGTTCTAATTGCCATTTTGCTTGTAAACAAGAAAATTTGTTTTAACTTTAGGAGCAGTTTTCTTTTCAAAAGTTGTTGAAAGTTTTGAAAAATTCTCAACAAGATTATCCAGATCAATAGGATGTAAAGTTTCTTTAAAAGAAAGTTTATCAACCTTGTGGTGTAAAGATACTAAAAGAGAGATGATTATATTGTTTTGCAAAATAGCTAATTTGTTTGATTCAGAAACAATATGATTTGTTTCAGAATAACCAATGGATTTTGGAAAACTCTGTTRGTTACAAAACTTATAAGCGTCTTCAAGTATTTTGCCTTCAAAATTTAAGTTCATTTAATTAAGAACCAATTTTTCAATTCGTTCTAAATGAAACTTAATTTTTTCAAACTGATCTTGAGATTTTTCCAGAACTACAAGAACTTTATCTTGAGAAATAGAATCTTT